TTCTGTAGTGTCAACAACATTTATTTATATTTTATTTTTTAACTTAATAGTGTATTCAGTACACATAATGACTTGTACATGTACATCTATTAGTACATTGTCTTATCGATTAATAGTGCGGATTTCGTACGAGTGGGACACCTTTACCGCACAGTTACCGAACCTGGCCTGCACAATTTTGGTGAACCAATGGGGCACTAGAATTTGGTTACAGTACGATTACGGTCACAGTACAGTACCATCCGTTTCCCACTCATACGAAATTTGCTCTAAGTTGAAGATATACATTTACTGCAAGTGCGATAAAAAATGGAACTTTTTTAATTTCAGTCATTTACCAAAGATATATCAAGCATTTCTGATGTCAGCGACTTTGACTGATGTGAGCACCATTCTCATACACAGATAATTTCTCAGTTTCCCAATGGAGAGACGAATGATTGTTTGATTTGATTGGTTCAAAAATTGCATCATATCATGTACGACCMAGATTCTGGGTCTTCTGGTATCATCTCTAACCAGAGCCTCRGATTTTCCWTTGGGAACCTGAGAAGGATCTGGGTACAAGAATGATTACCTTATCCATTGAATTCATTTTAGTTCCTCTTTTTATTTATTTTGTCATTAGTTCATTCTGTTTTAATTTGGTACAATGTTTCATTRTCTAGGATGTGAAGTCCTTAAAAAAGATGGTTCTTCATAACSCTGTAAGTATTTTTGGAAGTGCAATGTAAGATGCAGTAAGAAAAGTAATCCTGACTTTGATTGCATCATAATGTTTCTTCTTTTTTAAAGAAAGAATGAAATAATTATGAAAGTGTGGAATCAATCAATTCAGTGCTTCAATCTTTAATTCATTCACGATTAATAGTTAGTTTAGTATAATTTTATTTTTCTCRTTCTTTTCTTTAGGTTACTTTAAAATTAAATGAATCTCAATTACCAGAAAATGACAGACTTACACAATACCTTATAAAGTAMGTACCCTATTATAGATGACAATTATACCCATCAGCAATGTTGRGRCYATGGTTGCTATGGGTACTACTCMTCATAATGCACTTAAGTGAYTGCTGATCAGCATCRCACACAGTGTCAGAGCTGTCTTATCTGTCAATCTGTTAGCAAACCATCATTCAGGAACAAAATTGAGTGCTCAGGCATAAAAGCTTTAATTTGYTTTTTTGTCTTTCAGATGTGAACCAGATGATAAGTTCCTGTTAATTTATACTCTTCTCAAGTTAAAGTATGGAATACAATATCATGATGAATGGTTTTCACTTTGTGCATAATTACATGCATGTATTTTGATGCCTGTTTATATTGCAGTTTAGTTCAAGGAAAGACTTTGTTATTTGTAAATGGTATAGACAGATGTTACAGGTTAGTTGATAAATGAATGATGTGATTGGTTAATTGATTAATGATGTCATTGAATGGCTACATGATTGATTGATSATGTCGTTGGTTTAATGACTGATACTGAATAGTTACCAGTGATTGACAGGTAGTGTGATCAAATAACCAATGGATTTGGGTGACGATGTGATTTTTTGATGGACATTGTGAATTTCTAAATCAATTGATCAATGAATACTTCTTATCAACTAAAATAGATACATGTAATTTCATGATAAATACACAATCTACTGTATCTTTTCAAAGATTAAAGCTRTTTCTTGAGCAGTTCTCAATCAAGGCTTGTGTACTGAATTCAGAACTTCCTCATAATTCAAGGTAGGTTGATATGCATGGCTGGCTTTACATTGTAATTCTACTTCTAAAAGTTGATGAGTAAATTTTACAGGTTATTTGTCACATCCACAAGCATGTCTTTAGCCTTTTGTCTCACACCACACTATGATACCACAATCAGCCTTTATACTGTATGTGATTTTCGTTTTTTTTTATCATTATTCAGGCTTCATATTGTGGATGAATTCAATCGTGATATTTATGACTACATTATAGCATCAGATGAAAC